GTGGATGCGAATGTCATGGCCGAGGAAGTTGGCAAGTATGTCCATCTCATTCTCTTTCATATTGAGAACTGTAGACATAGTAGCTATGTGCTTTCTAAGTTTGGTTGAGGATAGCATCTCTGGATGCACCGCACCACATTCTTTGGCTACCTGGCGTAGGGAGTCTGATCCCCTGATGTGGGTGTCTGCGCCCGGGCGGGAAAAGAAGTATGGGTTATGGTCAGAGATGGAACAGGCCCTTCTGTTCTCCACCAGCACCTCCATCGAAGCAATCATTTCAGGAGTCAAAAGAACCGGCACTTTCCGACTTCTTTTCCCTTTAATTTCAATGCGTTGAAAATGCTGACACAGCTTTTTCTCAAGTTGGGACAGTCCCAGAGCAATGTCAGAATGGATCCCAGTCTTACTTCTTAAGGTAAAGGCTGTCAGTGGCATCTTTGAAACCTCACCTTCCCTTCTTCGATTGAAAATGATGACCTCACAAAGAGTCAAAACTGCCAGTTTAGACCAATGCTTAGACGTTGGCTCACTTATTAGGGTTTGCACATATTCAGGTCGACATACCTCAATATGTGCATGCATGGCTCTAACGTCCTCAGTCAGAGGGAGCAGGTCCGGAGTGTTCCACTTGGCTTGCCGGAGGGTCTGTAGGGCAGCAGAAGAAACACAGACGTCCCACCTCTTCTCAAAAAGCAGCCGGCTTCGTTGGAGGTTTTTAATAAATAGTTCATCAACACAATGCTCCATTTTTGAGTCACATTCAAGAATATCTGCTAGCTTTCTGAGGCTATGGCCGAGTTTGAGGGCCAAGGATGGAGTCTTGTATTGATTTGTTTCCTCATCATATCCAGCCACAGACCTGACTGCATCAATCACATGGTTAAAGTTGGAAGGAATAAAGAAATCCTTAATTGTTTTCAGTTTCCCTGCGGTTTTTGCTTCGTTAATTAACCTACCGACTTCTCTCATTTTCTGCCTAATGTAATCATGCTTTGTCTTATCATGCCCGTGTTTTAAGTACAGGTGCTCTCCGAGTCTCAGAATCCCCTTTTCTGCTTTGACAACACCCGTGACCTCATCCTGATGCATTGCCGAAATTAAAGACCACAGCTTTTTGCTGATGCCCTCCGGTACAGGCTGGGCTAGGGAGCAGAGGGACTGGACCCTACTTCTACCTGGTTTAGCCTGGGCATCTTTCTGTGAAAGCCGGCACCTGGCCACATGCCTCCACAGCGACTTTCGCTTAAGCAATGCCCCACAGTCTATACAGTGCAAAAACTCACTGGATTTAACTGGGCAATTTGGCTGTTTAGCTGGGACTAAAGTTCCAATGCCGGCCTTTAAAACCTCAAAATTGTGCTCACGGTTTCCACTATTCCTGATCAAATCAAACTGAAGTTTACGTGCTTTAGATTTCACAGGTAGAGCCAATGCTCTGGCTACGTCACTTTCATTTCCATGTTTTCTAGTCAAATGACGGGACATTTTGTGGCAGGACATTGAACAGTAGAGGCAGAAGTGTCTCTTGCTGTATACTCGCCCCCCATTTTTCTTCTTTTGCAGCTGCATGATAACAATCTTATTTGCCTTTGGTTCGTCACTTTCCGAGTCTTGAAGAAAAGTGTTTTTGATTTTTCTTTTTCCATACTTTTTTACAGGTTTCTTCTTGACAGTTAAATCGTCAGAATCTGAGTCGACTTCATCAATTAGGGACTCTTGACTAAGCTGCACAAACAACAAATAATTTGTAATCATTCTATATAACAATTTGAAGTCATGACTTGTAGTCAGCACTTACCAGTGGTTTGTAAGCGTGCGCTTCAGTGTGCTCCTCCATGATTTCTTGCAGCCTAATGAACCACACACTTGCACCTTTTTCTAGCCTGACACCTGATTTCCTCTGTTGTGCTGCTCCATGATTGGCTCCAGCCTGCTGGACTGAAATTGCCCCAGTGTGCCCCTCCTTGATATCCCGCAACCCACCACCAGGGTTCCGACACATAACACACTTTTTTCAGGAAAGTAAACCTCCAGGGGTCCTTTCCATATTTTTACAGAGACTGCATAAGGACCGTTAGAAAAGCATTACCCATTGATTATTAAGCTTGGACCAGTGGGGTCCGGTGTTCGGGCCCCACCACGTAAAACCAGTCCCCATGACGTGAGTGGAATCTCAGGTTATGGAACCCACCAGGAGTTGAAAACAAGTGCACACATATTCTCAAAGAATAAGGGTGGGCGCATTTCTCCCCGGGAGAGAGCGCATGAAATTTGTCTTGAAAAAGAGCAATGACAGGTCCCAGAACCAAGGGGAGTCCCTGGAGGTTTTAACCCCGAAAAAAGCCCTTAAATCCGGCTTAAATAGGGCCATGGGGTCCCAAACCGAGGGGATTCTGTGGAGTTCTATCCCGAAAAAAGCTTAGAAATCCGGACAGAAATCCACATAAATGCAGCACCGAGCCTGAGATTCCTCTGGAGGTTTAACCCCGAAAAAAGCCTTAAATCCGGCTTAAAATAGGGCATGGGTCCAGACCGAGGGATTCTGTGGAGGTTCTATCCCGAAAAAAGCTTAGAAATCCGGACATAAATGCAGCACTGGAAAGCCTGAGACCCAGGGTGGGTTCCTCGGAGGTTTTAACCCCGAAAAAAGCCCTGAAGTACGGCTTGAAATAGAGCCATCACAGGCCTGGTGCTCCAAGCAAATGTGAAAATAATTCTAAGTGCTGTGGGCAGGATTCGAACCTGCGTGGGAGGACCTCAATGACTCCCCATTCCATCGCCTTTGCCACTCGGCCACAGCGAGCCCAGTACTACAGCATAGACAATTAGGTTTTTTGGCAAAACACTTAGGCTGATTTGTAGGCTGAGGGGTGGGAAAGGCCTGGTTCTCCAGGGGGGCTATGTTCATGTGTGGGGGCTACCAGGACCTCCAGGCCGGTTAGGGTTAGGTCTGGGGAGGGCCTGGGTCTCCATGGGGGTTAAGGTTAGGTGTGGGGAAGGCCTGGACCTCCATGGGGGTTGAGGTTAGGTGTGGGGAAGCCCAGGACCTCCAGGGGGGCTATGTGCAGGCGTGGGGAAGGCCTGGACCTCCATGGGGGTTAAGGTTAGGTGTGGGGAAGCCCAGGACCTCCAGGGGGGCTATGTGCAGGCGTGGGGGCGGCCTGGATCTCCAGGGGGGCTATATGCAGGCGTGGGGGCGGCCTGGATCTCCATGGGGGTTAAGGTTAGGTGTGGGGAGGGCCTGGATCTCCATGGGGGTTAAGGTTAGGTGTGGGGAAGGCCTGGACCTCCAGGGGGGCTATGTGCAGGCGTGGGGGCGGCCTGGATCTCCTTGGGGGTTAAGGTTAGGTGTGGGGAAGGCCTGGACCTCCATGGGGGTTAAGGTTAGGCGTGGGGAAGGCCTGAAGAGAATGACACACACACACACATACACACAGTCACACAGAGAGAGAGAGAGAGACACACACACACAGAGCTAAACACACACAGAGAAACACGCACACAATAGAAACACATGCATGCACGCACACACACACAGTCACACACACATGCACAGAAAAAGACACACAGACACACACAGAGATACATACACACACGCACAGAAAAAGACACACACACACACAGAAAAAGACACACACACACACACACACAGAAAAAGACACACACACACACACACACACACACACACACACACACACACACACACACACACACACACACACACTTAGCATTGTCCTATAGCTTTAGCCGCGTAGCTTCGTTAGCACCAACTTCCTGATCCGGAATTGCATCAGTTCTCTTCCCAAACTCCCGGATGGCCGCGGCTGGCACCTGGTCGTGTGGAGATAAGCAGTGTGCATAAACAAAGAGGCAAATTAGCTTCAGTGGTATCCGAGGATTTGAGGGAAATTTACACAATCGCTGACAAAGCCGGTTTTAAAAAGCTCACAAAGACGTGCGTTGAATTTAATTTGTCTTTGAATTGATTAGAAATAAACATAGGTCTTTTTCGCTTTATAGACTGTGCAGGGCTAATGGGCGGGGAGGTGCATGGAAGAGCCACGGAACAGCCTCACAAACACAGCTAAAACCAACACAGGGGTTTAAAGTCTTTTAGCTAAGTCTTAATGGTCTAATTTTTTTGTCAAATTTTTCTTGTCCAATTTTTTATGCGAATTTTGAAGTTGTGAGAGTGATCCATGTCTGTTTTAGTGAATATTAGTCCTGACTCTGGGCACCAGCAGGAGGCCAGTCCCTGTGCTCCTCAGAGTCCCAGCAGGAGGCCAGTCCCTGTGCTCCTCAGAGTCCCAGCAGGAGGCCAGTCCCTGTGCTCCTCAGAGTCCCAGCAGGAGGCCAATCCCTGTGCTATTCAGAGTCCCAGTTGGTTCATACGGCACTAACATGTCACAGATGTACTTTGGTGCGAGTTCATGGAGAGAATTGTAACCTTGTACCTGTGTCCTGCTTCGTACCTATGAGCATAACCCTGGTTTACTGCCATTCCACTGATCTCCCTTCTCATATCGCTCATACAACTCACAATTCTTTTACCTCCAACAATTACTGCATGAAAAAAACCTATTATTTTTCATTACAAAGCATTAGCGTCTGTCACTAAATGTATTCATTGGTAAATCGAGCCGGGTTGATAGAAATGAATAGCCCCATTTGCTTAAACAGACCGTAATGCAATCTTCGTTTAAGTAAAAATCGCTCATTTGGTTCTGTATTTATGAGAATGTCTGAGTCTATGAGTGTGTCCTTTTAAATAGCGGCAATATCTTTAGAGTATATTGAGTTTGTCTCATAGTTATCTGTATATAGCGGAATAATGAATATACAATAGGCCTGCAGCTGTGAAATTAAAAGAGTGATACCCAAGTGTTAAAACTGATTATGTAATGCGCTGAAAGGAAACAGAGGTGGTGTCGAAGTATCCTCACAACACATTGGCTTTATGCTTTGTGTAGTGGGAAGGTTATTGGTGTGAGAAAGTAAAAATGTATGTATCTAAAGTGGGAGACAATACAGAAGGTACAGGAAACAAGTCCTGTATATGAACAAATATTTAGTTTATATACAAATATTTAGTTTATATTATCCAGAAATAGTAAAAGTAAAAGAGAGAATTAGCTAAATGTGCAAAACTCTGGCTTCCTGTGGCTCAGCTCTGTTTGTTTACGAGTTTCTCCAAGGCCTCTGTGACATGTTAGTGCCACAAGAACCAACTCTGAGGAGCACAGGGACTGGCCTCCTGCTGGGACTCTGAGGAGCAAAGGGACAGGCCTCCTGCTGGGACTCTGAGGAGCAAAGGGACAGGCCTCCTGCTGGGACTCTGAGGAGCACAGGGACTGGCCTCCTACTGGGACTCTGAGGAGCACAGGGACTGGCCTCCTGCTGGGACTCTGAGGAGCAAAGGGACAGGCCTCCTGCTGGGACTCTGAGGAGCACAGGGACTGGCCTCCTGCTGGGACTCTGAGGAGCACAGGGACTGGCCTCCTGCTGGGACTCTGAGGAGCATAGGGACTGGCCTCCTGCTGGGACTGTAGAGCAAAGGGACTGGCTTCCTGCTGGAACTCTGAGGAGCAAAGGGACTGGCTTCCTGCTGGGACTCTGAGGAGCACAGGGACTGGCCTCCTGCTGGGACTCTCAGGAGCACAGAGGGGACATTTTTGATACACAGGGATCACACAAAAATTACAGAGATAAGTACCTGCTATGCTTCTCAAGAGTAAAAGTATATAAAGGTAAAGGTGCACTTTATTGATCCCCGTAGGGCAATTCAATCCTCTGCATTTGACCCATCCTGATGCCGCAGTAGTACAGCGCCCGGGAACCCATCTCCAGATGTTGATGCTCAGCTTGGCCAGGACCAGAGCTGGAGGATTTAACCAAGTGAACATGTTTTTAGTGCTAGGGGAAACCCGAGTACCCGGAGGAAACCTACGCATGCACGGGGAGAACATGCAAACTCCACTCAGAAAGACCCTGTTCCGACCGGGATTCGAATCCAGGACCTTCTTGCTGAGAGGCGAGAGTGCTATCCACTCAGCCACCGTGCCGCCCTAAAATAGATGTATAATATATACATCTATACATATAGAGTGTAAATTATATGAATATATGACAGGATGAATAGAGTAGATAAAGTGACATTCAGTGGACAACAAACATGAGGAGGTAGCATTTAAAATCCATGCAGCTAATATCTGGAACAGTCTTCCTGAAAACGTGAGACAGGCTTCTACTCACAATGTTCAAAATAATTCTGTTTAGCTGTGCATACAACTGAAGGACTGGAGCTTCACTCTTTTTAACCCTTTAATGTTCCTACCTTGAAGAAATCAATGTCATCTTTTTATTTTTTGGATTTTCTAAGATGGACGAACACTTATAACAAAAATAATTAGTTTTTAAAAATTATATAGGCCTTTACCAAATGGTTGAGCTGCAGTTTGATGGTAAAAGTGCCTAAACCAAGTGCCCCAAAGGTATTGTTCAGTTCCAAACAAGCTTAAAGTAGATTTAGAGGCTAAAAAACTGGTTGAGAAAACCATTAAAGGGTAATTGTACTGTGATTATTTTGGTTTTTTATTCCCTGTATGATTTTTCCTATCTTGTTTACAATTCCCTTGAATTGTGTATGAACTGTGCTACACAAATAAACTTGCCTTTTTGTGATGTCACAAGAACGCATCAGATCATCTATTCTGCCATATGTGACATGTACATTTCTCCTTTGTGAGATAAATAAAGCATAAATAAATCTTATCTTATCTTATCTTATATTCTCAGCCCTAAAAGCAATCTGGAAAGCACATCCCCGGTGGATCTGCCGCAGCACCCACCACGATGACGCTAACACACGGCTTCACAGCTCTGCAGCAGCGTCAGTCCGACCTCTGACCCCGCGTGTCACTATCCTCCTCGTCTCCGCGCTCTCAGCTAAACGCCGCCTGACGCAGTACCCCTCCCATCCACACGTCACGGCGGTGAGTGTGCGTGACAGCCCCAGCGCCCGCCGCGGCCCACACGTCAACCGTGGCCAGCGCACACGCCACACGCAGAGTAAACAAGCCACCAAAGGCCTGCGTTATGCAAGAGATGGGAGGTGATGTCGCATGGCGGGGGTCTGCGGGTGAAGTGAGGGAGCTAACAGATACATGCAGAACTTTCATACACGTTTATTCAGTGTTTTAGAGGTGGCTGTTATATATATCGATTTTTTAAAATTGTAATGATAGATAGACAGATACTAAATACTAAATTAATCCATTCATACAAACAAATATTCATAATTCTAAAAGCTGACAGTATTAATGCAACAGCAGCAGAAGTCGCTGGGATTAGAAATGATACTGATTTTCTATGTAGCAATTCCGATTTGTTTTGATTACATAATAAACAAAATTCCTCTTTGCAAAACACTAAATCACAACTGCAGTCATGTCAGAGGACTTTACAAAGTTGCTGATTCTTCAACAACAGACCAGAGAATCAAGCAGGATGACCACTGTCTTGATGGCTGGTCTGTTACTATGGATACCGAGCCATGTTGTGTGTCATTTTAAAGCTTAATCTATCAAGAAAACAATCATATAATTTATTCCTATTTTTAACCCATATATTCACGTATGAAGGAATAAAATGTAAAAAAGAAAGACAATTACAATCCTTCTTCCTAAAACAAAGCAGGACCTTCTCCATTGCTTTTAGTTTAATCAACACAAACAGTGCCTGAACTTATTTTGTTCGGACAAGATACTCGAAAATAATGTCCAAATCATAGACTGTAAATAATGTTTTACATTTTCTAAATAATGTGCCACAACTTCCGCAGTTTATGGGCAGTTTCAAAATGGCCGCGGGGGCTGGAAAATGTAAAAAAACGCATAAAAACCTTTTTTAACGAGTGCCTTCAAAATTCCACAGCAACTAAACTAGACTGGTCCAAAAAAAATCACCCCCCTCAGCATTGACACACATGTGGAACGGAGCTTTGGGCCAAGAGCCAACTTTTGGACCATCCTGTAAAGACGTTTTTGAGAGGTCTGCCAATACTATATGTTAGCATTGGCTAATTCTTATCCTGGGTCCACCCCCATCGGCCCGGGGTGGTATTGCAAGCATGTCAGCGCACATCATTTTGGCCACTTTTGAGCTGGGACCCTCCCCCACTGGTGCAAACTCATGTCATATAAAGGGTTCTAATGTTGTCAAAATTCGTTCATAAAGTAAACAAACAAATGTCTTTTCTTTTTTAACTTTTCACTAAGAAAATCACTTTTATAGTTTTGTCCCCAGCCAAACTATTACCGTAATTTCCACACTACAAACAGCAAAATGTTTCTGTGGATTTTAACAGTGACAGACTTATGCTTATGGACTTAACATTCTGACTCCATAACGTTTTAGTAGCTACAGGACACTTGTTTATTGTCAAAACATATGAAGGTGAACGAGCCTAGGAAGCTAACGGTTAAACTGGGAAACATCTCGTCATTAAATCATGTTGTAACCAGTTAGAAGCCCCACCCTGGACCCGCTGCAGTTCGCCTACAGACCCAACATCGGAGTAGAGGACGCTGTCATCTACTTCCTGCAGCGGACGCTCTCCCACCTGGAGCCCGCCGGGAGCGCTGTGAGGGTCATGTTTTTCGACTTCTCCAGTGCTTTCAATACCATCAGGCCGGCACTGCTGCGGGGGAAGATGGAGGACGCGGGAGTGGACAGTAGCCTCACTGCATGGACCATCAACTACCTCTCAGACCGACCACAGTACGTGCGGCTGCGCAGCTGTGAGTCTGAGGTGGTCGTCTGCAGCACTGGGGCCCCTCAGGGCACTGTCCTCTCACCGTTTCTCTTCACCATCTACACCTCAGACTTCACACACGACACACACAGCTGTCACCTGCAGAAGTTCTCCGACGACTCCGCCATCGTGGGCTGTGTGTCTGAGGGGAACGAACTGGAATATCGGTCGGTTATCACAGACTTTGTCGACTGGTGTGAGCGCAACCACTTGTGCTTGAACACCAGTAAGACCAAGGAGATGGTCATCGACTTCAGAAGAAAACCACTTTCCCACACGCTGCTGAACATCCAGGGGGAGGACATTGAGCTGGTGGACAGCCCCAAGTACCTGGGTGTTCACATTAACAATAAACTGGACTGGTCCATAATACAAACGCCCTGCACAAGAAGGGCCAAAGTCGCCTCTTCCTTCTGAGGAGGCTGCGGTCCTTCGGAGTGAGCAGGCCTCTGCTCAGGACTTTTTATGACTCTGTGGTAGCCTCAGCCATTTACTACGCTGCCGTGTGCTGGGCCCCGGGCAGCACAGAGCGGGACAGAAACAGACTGAACAAGCGGGTCAGGAGGGCCAGCTCCACTCTGGGCTGCTCCCTGGACTCTGTGGAGGAGGTGAGGGACAGGAGGGTGCTAGCCAAAGCCACCTCCATCATGAACAATACCTCCCACCCACTGCACAGGACTGAGGAGGAGCTGAGGAGCTCCTTCAGTGGAAGACTGAGGCACCCTCAGTGTAGGAAGGAGCGCTACCGCAGGGCCTTTATCCCCACCTGCTGTCAGACTGTACAATAAGTCACTTTAAATGATCACTGTGTGAAAACCTGCACTACTATTGACACTGTTTCCAATTGACACTTGTCACTTTTGTTGTACATAATTATTGTCACTTTATTGTACATATATATCCTGCATGTGACATGTTTGCACATTTCCTCCCTTTGCACAATCTGAGTGTCTCTATCCATGCCAAATGTGACATGTAAATTTCTCCTCTGTGAGATAAATAAAGCAATCTTATCTTATCAGTCCATCTGCTACATTACAACATGAAAACCTGCAGCTTCTATTCAAATACAGCCTTTTTGTGGACACAAAATATGTTCTTTAAAAATGTAGGAGGTGCGGCTTATATACAGATGCATTTCAAAGTCCAGAAAGTACGGCCATTTATTGAATTCAACCCCTGATCTAAAATATAAAAACCCCAAAGTAAAGATCACGTTTCAGGGCAAAATATTGCATAATGATTTCAGTTCCTCAGGTCTTCGGTCCAAGCTCTCTGTCTCCTCTGCTGTGATTCTCCGGCCTCTGTTTTCTCCATTAATATGATCTAAAGTTGCGCTTCTCTCGCCGGCGCGGTCACCCAGGACAGGAATGATTGAGTTTTAATTTATCGGCGTGTGTCTGCGTGCTCCTGACTTTTATGAATCGATCGATGGAATGGATGTCTTGTTTGTTGCCGTGGAGACTGAGTGATGAGAAGTAATGTCACCGTGACCGAGGGAGACGTGTGCGAGTGACAGGAGCGAGGGGTGCGACGGAGACAGGGCCGGGTTGTTAACTGGTCATTAGTACAAATCAATTCAATGTATTTTTAGTAGCGGCCTTAAATCACAATAGCGGCCGTCTCGGAGGACTTCGCAAAGTTGTCGGTACATCAACAGAAAATCAAAACCAGGAAATGCAATAATAACAAACAAACAGGAGCCATCGGTCCATAGGAAGCGGGTTAACAATGTCCGTAAATGTTGATAAATGTCCTTAATAGTACCGGGTCACTGTCCTTAGACCGTTCAAACCAAGGCCCGTGGGCAAATGCGGTCATCCCAGCCAACTCCCCTGCACCTCGTTCTGAACCGTTGGAGCTCAAGCATTCACTCTATATGTATGTACTCTTATTTGTTTTCAATTGTGTCCCAAAATGGCACCCGTGTGAAAGAAGTTTGAGAATGATGTCGGTCCTTGGGCAAATCTAGTGAACTAAAGTGGCCCTGCTACAAAAAGTTTGGACACCCCTGCCTTAGAGCCTAGATCCAAGACTCAGACTGTTGGGCGGGGACTGAGAGACAACAAAGACATTTCAGATATGTACATAGTATTTGGTTTTATTAACAGTTTTTCCTGTATTTTTGTGTTTGGCTCATGATGTAAATGTGTTTTTATAGATGTCTTTCTGGTATGGACCTTTTACTCTTGTGTCTGAAATAATGTTATGTTATCATTTAAAATTAAATGTTTTTCATTGCTCAAAAAAAACTATAGAGATTTAATAGAAATTGAAAAAAATGATCAAATATAAGGCAGTAAATGGTGGTCGAGGGCAGAGTCCTTGACGACCAGACTGACTTGGCTCTATACTCTTCTCTTCTCTACAGAGACCCTGTTCGAACAGTACCACTTACTGAGTCATGTCGGGACGGAAGAGACGGAGAAGCGTCTGCGGTGGCTGTTGTGCTTTGGAAAATCAGCTTAAATCTCTTCAAACACGGATATCTATTGTGGAAACAGAAATGGGACTTAACCCGACTCTTCCAATGAGTGAAAATGGGATGAATGGACAGACTGGAAATGTAAGTTATGACGTCATTTCTTTTCCCAAAATCAACAATGAGAATTATTGGAACAATTGTGGAGCCAAACCCAAAGTTGACAAAGCTAAGAATGACAATAGGAGTGAAATAAGGCCACAACTAAATGTTCTGAAGACTTCAAACCGCTTTTTACCCCTTTCTGAAACAACAAAGCTGCTAAAAACTGCAGCGCCTCCACCAAGGACAAACTGTATCCTTATCGGAGATGGCTCGGTGAAAAATGTAAACATGGAGTCCATGCTCACTGTCTCAGTTCCCTCTGCTAAAGTTGCTGAGATAAGAACTCTTCTGCCTAAAGTGTTATCTGAGAACAGTGGTGTGCGTACATTATTGATCCACACGGGGGCGGTAGATATCTATGAGAAGGCAAGCGAGAAGTTACGAATGGATTTAACGCTGTTACTGGATGACCTCAAGAAAATGGACATAACAATTTTTCTTAGTGGCCCACTGCCAAATATAGATGGAAAAATGGAGAAGTTTAGCCGTCTGTATCAGCTAAATACATTTCTACTCAATGAGTGTTCACGCAGAGGACTTGGCTTCATTGAAAACTTTAATCTGTTCTGGAATAGGCACGAGCTTTTTGAAGAAAAAGGCCCACATCTGAACAACTACGGAGTAAAAGTGCTGATGGATAACTTTGCATCTGCCCTAAGACCTCAGCCTGCGCAGCGCGTGCAGCCGTTGAAAGGGAGAAAGAAGAAGCAAAGGGC